AATAAATAAAAACATTGAAAAAAAAAATTAAAAAAAAAAAAAAGAAAAAGAAAAAGCTTCCAATTAATGGCAAGCTTCCAATAATATCTTGGGTGGTTTTAATAAGTAGATCCTTTGTGATTACATCTTATTGTGAAATTTCAATGAAAGGAAGATTCCACTGTTCTATACTTGAACTTGTTTCCTTTGCTTATTATAACAGCCCTATAAGCTAAAAGAAATTTGAGAGTCTATTTGAGAGTACACATGGAAAGTTATGCAACTTCACAGAGTATAATTCTATATTGTAGTAATCAAGTGTTAGCATCCATTGTAGCCTCATTAGGTTAGCCAATTTTTCAGTCAGTGCTTGCCCTAACTAATCAAATTTGTTGTTAATTGGAAAATTCAGTTGCTGCTAAAAAATGCTGGTTGGAGTTCATTATTAGGTTATAGTCATAGAGATCAAATATCCTATGCTAGCTTCTTTTATCAGTTATCTGTTATCTCTGTAAGTAAAACAGCATCATGGTTTGTAGCTTAAAATTGTTGTCACTTATTTACTTACTATGGTTACATTTCTTGAATTTTGTACTTGATATCTTATCTATAGTCTTGTATTATAAGAAGAGTCACATTGCTTCTGGCATTATTAAACATAATATGTACTTTAAGACTGGGTAAATAGCCTTTAAGTTATTAGCTTTCCTGATCATTTAGTTATCCTTGACTACAACTTGTATATTGCAATATGTAATAAGTATATATAAGTTCTACCCTATATAATTTACTTACTGTAAACTTTGAAATACCTCATCTGAAAAATGGGGATAATGATAGTTGCTACTTTGGTTAATTTGTCATGATTATATGAGATAATTGTTCTAAGTCAATTATTGTTACTGTTATTCCATGCTAATCAAAATGACAATAATAATACAAAAAAGCATATATCGAAAATAGTTAATTTGAATTTTGAAATAGGTTCTATGCATGAATTTTTGTCCTTCTTTCCTTGTTCTCTCCTTTTCACACTCATTACTGATAACCTGTTACATGCCAGGCACAGTGCTGATATAGACACACAAATGGGACATGGTCATTTCTTCACTGAAATTATAGCCTAATGGAAGAACTTACAGTTTAGTTTTAGTGTATCAAATATTAACTTGCATAAACACATAAGAATATAAATGCAAAATAAATACTCGTTTAGTGACCGAGTTCAACCAGAATTTATTCAGTATCTTCGTAGAGACCCGATATCCTGTGGACGTATTCATGGATGTTAGGTAGGAGGAAAGGCAGGTACTATTGGAGACACAGGTTCAGAAAAGGTATTTTCAACTTCCCAGGGATGAGAAAGTCATGTTTAGTATACTTTTCCCTTTTGGGTGGGGAATAACCTTACTTGAAAGCTTAAACACGGGTGCATTAGGAAACATGATTGGTGTTTGTCTTCCCTCATTTGAGTAAGTAGAGAACTAATGAATACTTAGTGTTTAAGGATGTTGGTACTTGCAGCATTTTGAGTTACATGAGTTAATTAATTAGTAGATTACGAATAGTCAAGATTATGAATTATGAAGCTATAAATTCTGATGATATATTAAGGTATATACTAATAAAAATTCCATTAACTAGATGTTTGCAAAAATTTATGTGGTTTTTTTTTTCCCCTTTTTCTTTCTTTTTTTTTTTCTCTTCAGGGCCTCTGCTACACCCAAGCCTGAGCCAGTCCCCGTTCAAAAGGTATGTTTCTCATCTAGTATCGCTAGGTACCACTTGATAGTCCTTCCTGGATCACTGTTATTTCCATTTCCTGTCTTAGGCCATAGTGACAATTTATAGTTTCAGTATAATTTTCCTCACAGTTCTTTTCCTTTAAAGATTTGGGGGCGGAGGGATGGAAATCAACACATAATTAGAGTCTGTAATTGTACCTATATTATTAAAGCATGATTTCCAGGGCCGTATATTATCAATAACTTATGTCCATATTTCTTACATCCACGTTCACTTTTAATTTGCCTATCTTAAGTCACATAATTTAAAGAAAGTAAATGTATACTGAAAATGAGTATCACAACTCTTTAATAACATTTTATTAGTAATATTAATAGATTTTTAATTGCATTTTTAGAGTATTTTGGATTAGGTTATTGACAGGTACCTTTTTTCTCTCATATATATCCTCAAAATGTCCCAGACCATTATTCGCATACAGGTGGTTTATACTTTTGGGGGGTTTTCCCCTTTATTTCACTTGTCCTTTTTATTGAATTCTTTATGTTGATGTGCTGAGACACTAAGTTACTTTCCCCCCTCAATTAGCTTTATTATTTCTATAAGATTAATTTAGATTATTACTTATTTTTTTTAAATATAATAGAGCCACATTGTAAATTGGTGTAAATTTAAAAAATTGATTGTTTTTCTTTTGGGATGGTAGGATGAATAGGTATTTATTTATGAATGTCTTAGGAACTTGTTTTTTTTTTTTTTTTTTTAACTTTACACTTTCTTTGGAATAGGGATTTGCAAATACAAATTAACATTTTGGGCGGAATTGACCTTTCTTAGTAGTTAATTTTTCTTTGAGAAACGGCAATGAAGAAACATCTAAGATCATTTTTTTCCTCATGTAACTATTAACTATTTATTTTGGAAAAGGGAAAGAATTTTATTCTATCTCCAAATAATATCTCAAAACATTCCAGAGAGAGAAACAGGTGGATTGTTGACATTTTTCTTTTAAGTAATATATTCATTCACAATGATTCATCAGAATGTGCACATTTCTGAGTTAGATGAAAATGGTCTTTGTTCTTCCATTTTAGCATACTAAAAAAATTGAACACTTAAAAATGTGCTGCTGTTTCCTCATGAGTCAAAATTCTATACTCTGGAGAGTAAACATTTTTAAAAGATGAAATTATAATTAAGACTCTGGATATTTTAAATGTTTCCATTGGCAATATTTTGTTTATTGTGGGGTATTTAAATTTTTTCCTTTTGGAAAATTTAAAGTGTATATTGACACGTATGATGATGTGTTTAGTCTTTTTGATAGTGTCCTGCTCTGAGTTCCTAAATATTTTGAAACTTATTTCATTTTTATAAAAAATATACGCATTGTGTGCATCGTGTTACGCATGTTGGGACCAGTTCATGCATGTTATGCTCATTGTTTTATCTAGAAACATGTAAAGTTTGGGCTGCTAACACGATTGTGTTTGTCTTTTTAAAAACCAGCTGTGTGTTCTTTTCAGTGAATCTATCTTGCATGTATATGGTGTGTTTTTGTGTGTGTTTATTTTTATTTCACATAGGGAGAACCTAAAGAAGTAGTTAAACCTGTGCCCATTCCATCTCCTGCTGTGTCCAAAGTCACTTCCACAACCAACACGGCCTACAATAAGGCACCACGACCCTTTGGTTCTGTGTCTTCACCAAAAGTCACATCCATCCCGTCACCATCGTCTGCCTTCACCCCACCCCATGCGACCACTTCATCACACGCTTCCCCTCCACCCGTGGCTGCTGTCACTCCTCCCTCATTCGCTGCATCTGGACTGCATGCTAATGCCAATCTTAGTGCTGACCAGCATTCGTCTGCACTGAGCGCTGGTAAACCTGCAGTTAATGTCCCACGGCAGCCCACAGTCACCAGCGTGTGTTCCGAGACTGCTCAGGAGCTAGCAGAGGGGCAGAGAAGAGGATCCCAGGGTGACAGTAAACAGCAAAATGGGTAGGTGGCCAAGGGTGCTTTCTGCTCTTATCCAAACTCTTCTTTCAGGCAGTTTCCAGGAAATAATCTATATCCCCCCGCCCCCAATCAGCTGTTCTTTGAAGGAACGGAGATGAAGTTTCATTTGCTTCATTAACATGTAGCTTTATATTATATATGTACAGCACTTTCTGCAAGGCAATTATAGGTTAACCAAAACCTAAATATGCATTTTGATATGTTATGAACCATGTAACATGCTCTGTAACTCTTTCTCCAAGTCCTGGCATAACAAGGAGCAGCTGGCACTTATAATGCAAGGCAGAGCTTGAATCTTTCTTTCTCAATTTTTCCGTCCTTTTATTAGTCACCAAAAGTTTAAACAGACTGGTTAAAGTTGTGTCAGCTTATGTATCTCACCCTAAGGAGACAGGAAGTGAGGAGTTTGAAAAGCTTTTTTTTCTTGGGAAGTAGTCTTAAGACAGAAAACAAATTTAGTTTTGACTCATGTCTATGTATGATGCATTAGCTTAGGTCGGATAGCCAGCAACATTCTTTGGAGATAAGCTTAGGCTAGAATTTAGTCTGTAAAAGCAAACAGTAATGGTAGAACAATAACATCAAAGGATGCATCACAAACATCAGAAGCAAAGTAGGGAATATTTTCATTGTAAAGGTTTTTCTAAAATGAATGGATTTACAGAAACGGGTACTAAATACATAATGTCAGTGGAAGTTTTAAAAATTCCATTCCTTGTGATTTTTCCCTTTTTGAGGTATTTTTTAAAAGATTGAAGTCCATTTTCAGCAGCCTCCATTTCTAGATGGTCATTTTAGTCTTTTTGGAATTCAGTGACCATACTTGAAGCCAAAGTCATTTGTGTAAAATCATTTTGATCAGATTTATTGTGACAAAAACGTGCCTTAAAAGGGAAATCATCTGCATGCATGATGGTTTTTACCAATGCCAGTTCCCAGGGAAGTATAATTAAAATAATTGCGTGGATAGGTCCTTTCTGAGGTAATCCCTTCCGAATGTTAATTCGTGTAATGAAGGGGCTGTGCTGTCTGTAGCACTGCTGCCATGGCAACCTTGGGGCTTTGAAATGGAAGGTGGCAGATCTCCAAGGCTGCTGCTGAGAGAAAGAGCAGGAGGTCTGGAAGAACAGCTACTGGTCCCAACATACGGTTTTGTGGTTGTGGGTGGCTTTTTAAAGTTTTGACATACATATGAGTAAAACTAGGGTCCTTCAAAGCAAGTTATTTCTTCTTTTATTTGAGGAAAAGAAATAGTACGTAGTGTTGGGTTGTATTTTTTTTTTTTTTTTGTATGTTTCTTTTCAGACAGCAGATTTTAATCAGAGTAGATATTCTGGAAAGAAAGATGCAGCCTGTCAAATTGTTGGCCCCATAGAAAACTCAGGGCAGAAGTTTGCTATGTTGATGAAATTCCAGTTTCAGTATATAAAAGTCCCCTGGAAGAAGTGTCTGAACAAACATATTTTCTCCTTACTAACGTATCTTGAAATTTTATAAGATAGTCTTCTGAATGGAAACTAGTAGAGGTAAAAGTAAAGTGAGGTTATGGAAGTGGGTACTTCATTTCAAACGTGGAACTATGAATATGAAGCTTAAAGTTTTGTTTTATAACTACAGCTTGAATGATTAAACTTAAAATGATTTACAGCTTATTATTTTCAAAATGAAACTGTAGGCAGTGGTGTAGTCGTAGGGCCTCAGGGATGGCTTTTTAATCAATGGACATGTGATTGCCGAGCCTGTGCCTGTGTCTAGGTCTGTGCAAGATTCAGGAGAAAAGGGGTTATCGCATATTTGGCATCATTAGCAAGCAAGTTACAGCTTTGCGTTTGCAAACTGGGTATATTTTAAAACAGCTCGATTTCAAATGTCCAGATGTTGGACAGTGAAAACTGGATCACCTGAAAACAGAGTGCCTGTGGTGTCTGTGAAATTCTACGACACATTTGCCGTGCCATTTCTCTCACTACATTTAGATTAGAGAAATCAAAAAAAATAGATCAGACACTTTACTAGTCAGTGATGAGTCATTTTGAAGAGGTGCGTTGACGAGTGTGTTTCCTTCATCAGGAATCAAACGGTTTTTCTGAAATCATTGTCAGACTATTTAGTAATTATGTGATTAGTAATTTTTTCATGTTTTTATAATATTACAAAAGGTATGCAAAAAAACCCTTTCAAAGTTGAGAGTTGTTACTTTTTTATTAATCACTTTTTATTTTAAAAATAATACATTACAGGAACCAAAAATTTAAAGAGTTCAGAAGGGTATAAAGCTAAATTTGTAAGTTGTCTTTTTCCTCAAAGCAGAAAGATTATTAGTCCTTAAGTGATTTAAAGTAACTGGCTCATATGCCAATTTGATAGGCATCGCACCCAAATTTATATAGGATTAGTAAACATAAGACACAAAAAGAGTATGTCTTCATTATGCATTATTACTGAGAAATAGTTATTCATTGTAAAGTATGAGGTCTATAATTATGCTGATAGTTTTAGAATATTTCTTAACAATACTATGTAAGTGTTCTTGTTCCTTCTTATAGATAATAATGAACAGGGCCCTTTAGGAAATTTTTAATCTTTCTTCTACATAAACAAATTACTGGTCTTGCTATTTTCCTAACTCCTTTCCCCACTTACTCTACTTAGAGCAAAATGGGACTTTATATTCCAAAGCAGAAGGAAAGCTATTTTGCATCAAGTAGTTTAAGTGATTTACCTTTTCGCTTTCCATGTGCCCTTGCATTATAATGTGCCACTGCTTTAAAGAGGTAAGTCTTTCATGTATCCTTTATTAATTTCAATTTTGTTGGACTGCAATTTCTTCTAACAGTTCCAATGTGTTATTTTGAAGAACTTGGCCTTGGAAGATGCAAAATATAATGGTACGGTAGTAATATTTTTAAATGCTTTTCTCTTTACAGAAAACACAAGTGACAAAGTTAGTATCCACATTACTGGAGAGGAAATATGGTGATTTATATATGAGTAAATAGCATGAATGTGTCCGATTTTTGCAAAATTGAGTTACATTTTGCAAAATAGCTGTCATTTAGAAGAACCATATTTAGTGTTTTCAATAAGTTTGGTTTGCATCGCTATGTTGTAGTGAATTGCTTTATGGCAAAAAATAGTTGTGTTTAACTTTTGTCATAAAATATATGTGGGGTTTGCTGTGTAGTGGTTTACAAGAGATAATGCTTGGGGAATGTAATTTGTGTGGGTTGAGACTATTAGAAGATAAAGAGAAAGATACAAGAGAAATCATAAACAGATGTACCACCAGTGAATAGCATATATAAAACTGAGTTGGTTTCCAAATTCATATAACAAACCAGTGTTTCCCAGGTAAAGTCTCTAAGAACCGTTTTTATTTTTTAAACAACGTTGCTGACAGTTTTAGACTTTTCTGTGTACTGTTGTGTGTCACTGCATAATAGAAAGTTTATGCATACCTTTGAAATTGGTTAAGAGAGATAGTTACTGACTTATTAAATGTCACAGGTAGTTGACATAGACATTGGGCATCACAGTGGTATACTTTAAAACCACGCTTTTGTGTCTGTTGGTATTGATGGTAAACTGGCTGGGGATTAATAGCCTTAAAATAGATAAAAATCACATTAGATAAGGACTTAAATTAATTTCGTGTTACGATTATTCTGAGCATGTGCTGAAATTTATCTACGTTGTAGATTAGAATGGGAAATACGGAATATTTAACCATCTTAGACACATTCAAGAGAATTAACAATCAAATTACTAGAACCTTTGTTCCAGTGTGGCTGTGGTCCCACTAATTAAATAATTAGTTCCATGTTATATACACATAGGAATATAGTGTATCAGCATACTAGTGAAACATCCTCAAACCCTAATTTATTATTTAAATTCTTACACACAAAGATTTTGACTAGTTACTAAATTCCAGTGTAACAAACAATTTGATTTGTAAAGGGCAAAAACTGGGCCTTGGAGAAATAAATTTAAGCATTTAGGTTAAATATGTAAATTCATTAATTTATTAGGGATTGCTGTGCACTGTTCTAGGTGTTTCTCAATTCACTACATGATTTAGTTCAATTTAATTGAATACTGACAGGTTACTTAATTTTCTCATGTCATGCAGCTTGTAAGTAATTTAAGATTCAAGCCTAGGGTTTTTGAAGCCAGTTTACTGTGCCTTCCTGTGCATCATCTGACTGTGACCCTGGCTTATTTGTTACTTTGAACTGGTGTTTGTTTTTAAATGGGTTGGGACAGTATGGATGAATAATATGCCTAAACTACAGTACTTTTTTTTTTAAACAAGCAATTAGGGGATCTACCCCGACAACAAATCTGTTTGTATGGTTTGTAGAGTGCCTTCAAATATGTTAAACATATGCCTATAGAAGAAGTCTGAAAGAATGGGAAATTGTAGTCCATTCCACTGTGGAGGAAAGAGGCTTCTGTAGATTGCACATTGTTCAGGGCACAGGGGAGGTGGGCAGCTTAGCCAGGGTGAGAAGTCTGGTCTTCTCATGGTCACATTGGCACAAAAGCTGTTGCAGTATATGATGGGCCGTTCCTCTTGGGCACATTATCTGAAATATGTGAAAATATTTATTCGACATATACAAATTGGCGTCTTTAGGTTGAAACCAGTCAAGTCTATACCTGCCGCAACTCACTACACCATAGAATGTTTCTCTCCCAACTTCATGTTAATATAAAACTTTTCCCCTAAACTTTAAAAGGTTTAAATATATATCTAAAATTCAGTTCAGGGGAGGTTATTTTGAAAAACTACTTACCTGCTATTTAAAATAGTAACGCAGAGGAAAGAATGCTTTGCGTTGTGGCTAAAGAGTAAGTATCTGTAAATATTGAGATCAGCTTGCCTCTGGCATCCCACCCCTATTCAGTGAAACTCAGCCCTCTGTTGAGTTTATGAAGCTGACTTTGATATATCTGTAGCAAATACAGCTAACTGCCAGTGTTGGTATTAAAACTGGTAGGCAGTTTTTGTCACTATGTTCAAAATGAATTACTAGTTACTCTGACTAAACTTCATGGCAGAAGGGTTGATTCAACAGTGTTTTCGAAAACTATGTAGAGTTTATACTTCAGTCTTCATAATAGAATAGAAATATACTTGTTTTTAATGATTGTATGGTTAATAGGTTGTGTGAATGAATTATGTTTTGAGGTTTTTCTTCTTCAGATGTTATTAATGTAGTGCCTTTACTATATCATATCAGACATGCCTTTCTGAGCAATAGGTAGGTAACTGATAATACAAAAGTATGGGTTCCTACAAATCTGTTCTGAACTTACTGGGATTTGCTTGTCAGTAAGAGTGGTGGTAATGACAGAGGAGATTATGAAAATTGGGTGATCCAGTATGCTGCCTATATTTTCTATTATAATCACATTTTTATTAAAAATTTTTTTTAATGTTTATATATTTGAGAGAGAGAGAGAGAGAGGGGGGGAGAGAGAGAGCATGGGCAAGGAAGGGGGCAGAGAGAGAGGGAGACAGAGAATCTGAAGGAGGCTCCAGGCTCTGAGCTGTCAGCATAGAGCCTGACGCGGGGCTCAATTTCACGAACAGGGAGATCATGACCTAAGCTGAAGTCAGATGATTAACTGACTGAGCTACCCAGGTGCCCCTATAATCACATTTTTAAAAAATAAGAGAAAACATCAAATAGGCTAGCATATTATTTCTTTATAATACACGATTCAGGGATAACTCTTTGGCTTTTAGGTTTTTATTTTAATTCCAGTTAGTTAGCATACAGTGTTATGTTAGTTTCAGGTATAAAATATAGTGATTCTTTTCCTTTTCTTTCTTTCTTTTTTTTGGCTTTTTGAATTTTTATTTTAATGATTCGGGATAATTTTTGTTAGAAGGTTGTATTTGCTATTAATATATACTTCATATATTATGTGAGTGAAAGACTTTCTCTTATTCTGCTCTGATTTTAAGTGATTCTAAAATGTTCTGTTTCTACATATGACATCTAATAATTATTTTATTCTCTGCCTTTTGTTAGGAACATAATAGGAATTCGGATTCCTGCTAAAAAGAATTTATATAAACCTAGAGATATTTTTAAACAGTGGATCTTTCTCTGTTAACAGTGTAACAGAATTTTGACTAACATGTGTTCATTTTTGTCTGTGTTTACATGTTTATTTTGAAGCATGATGTTTGTGTAATATCTTCATGTAAATTAATTGTTTTAAATTTCATTATTTCCTTTTTGTTTTCTTCTCATCTTTTTTCTTTTCTCTTTCTTTTTTTTTTCTTTGCTTCATCTGTGTCTATTTTCCTATATCCTGGGAACATCAATGTCTTATCTACTCTGTCACATCTTTTTTGTATGTATTACTCCTCCTTCAGTAACCCTGGCACCGTGTAAGTACCTAATCAGTGGTTCCTTTTTGTAATTTTCATCATTGTCTCTCTGTAACTTTCCATCCTGCTTTTAGTTTAATACTACCAGCAAACTTTATTAGTGTCTTTTTGCAAGAATTTTCACATATGTTATAAGGAGCATAGGAAACATGTTTCTCCTGCTAGAGAACTTCATATAAATCAGTGGGTATGTTTTCCACTTCTTCAGTGGAAAAAACTTAGTAAGCCGAACCTTCAGGGAAATAAGTATTGTAGACAGTGTATGCTGGAGTTAGTGACCTCGTTTGGGCTTTCCTCGTTAATTTTTTTTTTTTTAATTTGAATGTAAACTTGCTAATTGTGAATATCTACATTTTGAAATAAATTATTTGCTCTTGATAGTTAAATTTATGTTCTATCCCAACTACATTTTAAAAAATAAAATCGAGATTACTCTCTCCTTTCATCATAGTCATCAGAGTGTAGAGTTTAGAAACTTCGTATCACTTAACACAAGGCCTTAAGCCGTGGTGAATATCAGAGTCTAAGGTGTACCATGCTTCCTGCAAGTATGTCATGGCTAAGAAGTGTTCTTAAGTGGTGTCATTTTATTATTCTTAGTGTACTTATTCTTAGCTTGACACTATTGTTTTGTATTTTTATAGACCAAATCTTTTGTAGAAAATAAAAGAGTTTTATACTGGAAACTGACACCACTTAAGAGTAAACTACATTCACTAATTATAGAGAAGTTTAAACTGTAAGTTTCATAGCTAAACAAAATTTTTCATGTAATTGCATGAGATAAATTGTTGTCTGTTTAGTAAATTATATCTTCCAAATACAGTGTGTTTATGAAGTGCTCTTTGCGTATTCTAATTTTTTAAAATTTTGTTTTAAAAAGGATTAGGTTTTGTTTAAAACAAAGTAAACGTAAATTAGTAATTAGTAAAATATTAGATATTTCACTTACAGAATCTTAGAATTCTACCATAAACTATAAATGTTACTGATTTTATGTGTAAATACTATTGATTCTGTTTTTTTATGTAAGCGGATGACCCATCATCTTAGAATATGCATTGCAAATGATGTTTTTACTAATCATGAAAGAAAACACATTATGTGATCGTTCCTATGCATTAGGTACTTGGGAAAGCACTTGACATACACTGTCTACTTATTCATTCCTCAAAACAACTCTTTAAGGATACAATCCCCCTTTCTCAGATGAGTAAGATTGAGATTTAGAGAAGTTAAATGACTTGCACAAAACACACACTAAGTGAAGAATGTAGTGCTTGAAACTATTATCTGTTCCTAAAGCCATTGTTCATATTAATCTTATCATGTTCTTCACCGGGCAGAAATTCTTTCAGTGTACTGAGACAGTTTTGATAGTGTGACTATTCAAATGACAACAGTCAAGTGGCATTCTGACAGTACTGTGATTTTCGAGCAGTGAGTTACACCCAACAGATGTTGCCACCCACATCTGACACTCTGAGCCCTTTCTCTTCTCAAATCTTAGTCTGCTAGTCGAGACTTGGGCTCCTTTTTCTCTCCTGAAATGATACTCATAGACTCCAAAGGTTTGCATTTGTCATATTTGGGGGCGGGGGGTGGGTAGAGGAAGAGAACGTAGTGTTCATTACCTTCAGTAGATCTTAGGTTAGGATGTTAATATATATTATAAATTCCTTAATATTTATGCCTTGTTCATAGAAAAATGAATGTTCTTAACAAACTCAAAGTTCTTGAGCTCTGTAGTGTACAAAATCCCTTTCACATTTATTATTTCATTTAATGCTCAGAACAGTGCTACTCTGTATGTGATATTCTTATCTGATAAAGGAAAAAAAATAAGCTCAGTGAGATTCACTTGTCCAGAATCACATATCTAAAAAAGTCACAGAGCCAAGATTTACATCTTGGTGTATTGATAAATATTTCATTGGTTTCTGATATGCTACACTTCTTATTCTCTGCGCTGACCCCACACACAACTTTATTCAGGATGAGAGTTATCTATACACAGGAATGAGAAAACTGTAGAAAGTAACCGCTCTGACCCTTTTCAAAATTGGAAAATTTGGAATTGCTGTCTTAGCCTGTACTAAACCATTCTTAGTTCCTGGGCCTGGTGAAGATTTTTCATTTAATTTTGTAAAAACCAATACATTTTGGCAACCTATTGATATTTAACGGTGGTTGTGAATGAATACAGTCCATATCTGTGTTTTGTTAGGCATAAGATAGATATAAGAACAATACAAATAATTTCAAAAAAATTTTTAACTACTGTGGACTATTCAGTTCTCATTATTTTCCTTATTTTCTTATTCTTTTCCTTTTCTTTATGCATGGAATCTCTCTTCTGCTGCCTTCTTCTGTCAATTAAAAGGAAAACTCCACCTAAACGGTAACCCTTCTCTTGAATATTATGTTAACATGTGAATACCTTTTTTTTTTTTTTTTTTTTACTAGTTAAAGATAAAGCAGGTCTACTCTAGTTTAGAAGGATGCTTTTTTAAGAAAATTGAGGCTGAGTGCCCTTGGAAAAGCATGAGATACAAAAAAGAACATTGATATTGAATGTATTAATTACAAATTATTTGGCAGAGGATATTTTATCCTTAACATAATTTAAAAGTGTTTAATTCTTTCTTTCCCTCTTAACCTTAGTCCACCAAGAAAACACATCGTGGAGCGCAACACGGAGTTTTATCACATACCGACTCACAGTGATGCCAGCAAGAAGAGACTGATGGAGGACACTGAAGACTGGCGTCCGAGGACTGGAACAACTCAGTCTCGCTCTTTCCGAATCCTCGCCCAAATCACTGGGACTGAACATCGTAAGTGAATACCTAGGGATTCTGATAGGTGAATGGTCTCTGCCATAGAGAATAGCATTTAGACAGATGGGCAATTATTGGAAAACAGTAATTTTCCTGAGGCAGTTTACACTTAAACTATGCCATGCATAATATGGGAGATGTAAATAAGAAGCCAGCCCAGGTCACGGTGAAAAGTGTTGCAGTAGTAGCAGCAATGACTATAGTATAGCCGGTGACAGCATGATTGCGAATGTTTTTTAGTGGCTCTGTGCAACTTGACCATTTGGTATTGATGGGTACAGGTAATTGCTTAAATGATTTTTCAAGTTAAAAAAGTAAATTAATATTGGATGTTGCTTGTTATATTTCAGTGAAAGAATCGGAAACTGAAAATACAAAGAAGGCAAAGTAAGTTGTCCGTTTTTTTGGTAAATTGAATGCTTTCCTTTCCTGAATGGTCTCAATTTGTTTTTTCATAGTTTCAAGTGTAATGGTATGGCGTTTTGTGTTTGCAGCTAGAAGCTAAGCATTTAACTTCGGTGTCTTGTATGGGACTTAAATGTGGGACTTAGAAAACTTACGGATTTTTAAATTAGTAGATATTTCTGGATTTCATGTGTAAGGATAATTTCCTTTAGTATAGAAATAAGTGGGCAGAGGAGTATATTTGGGGATGCTTTGCTAACACTACAGATCTGTGTGAATGAGTTTTATGTGTTGTCTTGTAGTAATTTCATTTTGGGCATAAAAATGGATGTTTCCAGGAGGGCTCTATAGATTAATGTCTGCATTTATAAAAATGTTCTACTCTTAAAATCTTTGCTATTAAATAAAACAGCTATATGAAATTAAGCTTTTATAAAGCATGTTTTCTGCATGATGATCTAAGTGTAGAAACTTTTTCTTTCTCTTTCTTATGACTCTTCTATCACTTCTCTTCTTTTCTTTTCTTCTTTTATTTCCACAGGGAAAAGATACCCCTTCACGTCTTTAGTCCCAAATACACAAAATTACGTGACTGGCACCATGAAGTTTCAGCACGTGCTCTTAACGTACAGTGATTTATGAGTCTTGCCCCCTGCCCCAAGCAGCCAGCACATACCTTTTCATTCAGTTTTTCTTTTTTTCCAACCTCATAGCAAAATCTGTATTAAATTTGCCTTACAAAAAAAAAAAAAAAATAGAAACCTTTTCTATACTTTTCTAACCATTTCTTGCTGTTGTGAAAAAGAGGAAGATGAATTTGTTTTGTGCTAATCAGTAGCTCACAAATGTTAAACCAAGAGAGCAAATTAAGGGACTGGATCTGTTCGGTGGATTTCCATGGGTGTCCATTGTTACTAGGGTAGTGACCTTGGAAAAGGAATTCTTTCTGTAAGTTGAATTTGGTTGGTTGTGTGAAGCAGAGACAGATGAGCAAATAATGTCCTTGTCTAATTTGGAAAATACTTCCTTTATGTTACTACATTTCCTAAGATTACTTTTAAATTCATTATTACATAATGTTCAACGTGGGTTGTAAATTACTCCTAAGCAAATGTGAGGAGGTAAGAGAAAACAGAGAAGACTGTATTAGAATAGTTTGTTGTAGATTTGGGTATTTTTTTTTAAAGCAGGTACTCAGGATGGCTCCGAAGAGGAGGAGGCCCAAATTTGGCTCCTATTACAGGAAAGCAGAGAATTCTGCCCCTACTTGCATTGGGGAAATAGAGTGTTCTTTTGGTTTGGTTAGTTTCAAAAATCCTCCTTGTTACCAAAGGAAATATTTCTAAACTGGTGGATGTTTTTAGGGTATAAACAACTTCCAGGCATTAACTAGTAAGAAATAGAAAAGATAATTTTGCTTTGTTTTTAAATGAACATAAAGTAAGTTATAAATGATTCTTTATGTGACATCAGAGAAGTATTTTACTGAGTGATAAATAAACAATTGTGTGTTCCTGCTGTTCCTAGGAAACTATGTTTTGGGCAATACATGCAAGCTAACATCTGACCAGAAATGCTTTCTGTTTTGTAATATAATGTATTATATATTAGTTATACATTCAATAATAAATGCATTTTGAAGTTTGGAAAAGTACTGTAATAAAGTTGCCTTTAACTTAGCTTTGTAATTGTTTTCTGTTTCCCTGAAGCTAGTAATCGTGTCATCTAAGACTTGTTATACTACCACTTACATAAAATAAATAATTCTCTTGACATTTCATTAGGAAAACATTTTTAATTTTGCGAGGCTGCTAAAATGAGTGTGGACTATGATAAAGCCCTGTATTTTTTTTGTGTGTGTCTGAATTGTCATGTTACTTAACATAATGTCTTACGTGAGTAACAAGAAGATCAGTTATAAGTAAGCTCTATACCCAATGCGGGACTTGAACTCAACAACCCTGAGATCAAGAGTTGCATGGTGTATACCCATGGAGCCAGGCAGGCACCCCCATTCAGGGCATTTTTGTTTTTCCAGGTTTTTGTTTTGCTTTGATATCATCATAGACTAGGTCAACTGCCTGATAATTTGGAGAAACTAACATTAATTTCAGTTAGTGATTACTATTTAAAATTTAGCACACCAAGTGTACTTAAAAATAATTCTAAGATTTTCCTGTGCTCATTTCCACTGTACTTCATAATATGCTAAGGTGTCTTTCTTTTACTGTAGCAGTTCTTCTTCAGATACTGCTTGTGATTTTATGGTCCTGACATCAATCCATTATTACTATGTCTCTGGCCTCTGAACGGAAATAGACCTTCTTTGACCAGGCTTTCTTATACCTAATACTTCTCATTCATCTCAAAAGATGATATTTGAAAGTAGGTGGAATCAAATTCTCATGAAAATAAATGGTGGAATAAACAAGGTATTTCCCACCAGGAGCCAAATTTCCAACTACAGAGTTGAGAGAGAGTGCAACTAGATGAGAGTTTTAAGTAAATAAAAGAATTTCTTCCTAATAAAGGCAGGAGAGCATGTATAGAACTTTATACCTTGAAATAAGTGCAATTGGAAATAAGAATTTAATACCTTCCTAATTAAAAAAAAAGTATTTAATGTCTCATTGAAAGCATACACTTAGATAAGTGAAGGATCTGTATTTGAGTATGAGTGTGAGTGTTCAGTCAGGATCACAAAAGACATTCCATTTGACCCCATCAGAGGTTGAATTCCTGTGTTCAGTTAATCTTCTGGGACATCTTATATTCCTAGCTTAAAAGCTAGCCAAATATTGTAAAAGCTCCTTGCAAAAATATTATTGTAAGTCTGGTGATCTAATTTATAGCTTGTTTTTGTTTGTCTCTCTGATACAGAGTTTCTTTATCATAGGCTTGTTTTTAATGTACAATTTGAAAGTTAAGAATTTTCAACGTTTTTACAAGGTTTTACCAGTTACAAGATGGAATGTTACCCACAGAGTGAATATTTTTGTTCCCTTGAAAAATATATTGTTTGTGGAAACGGAAATATACTCATTTTGCACATCATTATGCCCTTTTGGAAGCCTGAGATAAAAATATCGTAGAGAGCTTATTTAATAAAAATTATGATATTAAGATAGAGAGTAGCCATCCCATCTTTTATTCAGATTTATTCAGAAATTTGGGTGAATTGATTTCCCCAAATGAAAAAGTTCATAATTGTCGCACTTCCGATGTGTATTTAAAATCATATAAATCACAAATATTCATTTATTGCCTGAGTTATTCTTTCACACAAATAATTACTGAAGACTTAAATGCCAGGCACTGATATGAACTAGGGATTAAATAATGAGTAACAGATAAATATATAAATAAAGTGATCTGAGATAATTGTGTTACTAAGATAAATTCATATAAAGGAAATTTGGCTTAGGGAGGGATTACTTGGGTTGTGTGGATCTCTGAGGAGATGACGTTAATGCCATCACCTGAGAGAGGAAAAAGAGTCAGCCATGTGATGACTTGGGGTCACCGTTCAAGGCAGACGAAACGATTGTGGAAACCCTGAGGCGAGCAGGAGTGTGGCAGTTACACAGAACGGAAAGGACAGTGTAGCCAAAATGTGGTATGTGACCGGAAGCATGATATAAAAATGTCATACATATGCGTATAACTTACATTCTCCATACTGTCCACAGCATATGGAATGGGAGGTTGTCTTCTGTCTAACTACTTTCAAGACAGATTTAAAAATAAAGAACCAAGGTGGTATGTCAAAGGTTTGTCAAAGCTAAATAAAGTACATTCACTTATTCGTGCTGCTCTCAGCATAGGTATCAATTTAATGCTTTTCCCATTAGACCCACTGGAAACTTACGAAAAGGAGGCATTATTATAGTATATGTTGGTAACATATTTGTAGGGAACAGCTATAAAACATACATAAAGGCACTAAAAAACAAAACTTCCAAGATACAGAAATTAGACATATATCGGGGCACCTGGGTGGCTCCGTCAGTTAAGTGTCCAACTCTTGGTTTCAGCTCAAGTCATGATCTTGGAGTTTGTGAGATTGAGCTCCGCATCAGGCTCTGTGCTGTTAGCACAGATTGGGATTTTCTCTCTGTCTGTCTGCCCCTCCCCTGCTTGCTTGTGCGCACGCTCTCTCTCTCTCAAAAATAACCTTTAAAAAAAAAAGAAATTAGACATGTAATACTTTATTCATAGTTTAGTGACGGATTTGACAGTTTAGTTCTGTCTATAAAACTTACCAAGAATTGTTTGAACTCATTCCTTTTTGTTTACCCATTCAAGAAAATTACTTAAACCAAGTAATTCCTTGCTCATTCTTTCCAAAATAGACGTCAGTACTCCAGGATAGTAGGAAGCAAGGAATGATAAATTCTGAATCTGAGACTCCCGATTTGTAACTCACTAGTTTCTACCCCTGAGTTTCCACTTCAAAATAGGAAGTTCGAGTCAGTGGTGGACTCCATGAAGCCCTTCCAGATACTGCTTCAGTAGAGGACTTGATAACCGCTGCTGCTGCTGCTGCTGCTGCTGCTGTGTGTGTGTGTGTGTGTGTGTGTGTGTGTGTGTGTGTGTGTAGGGGGCAGATAGCCTTCATTCATCAGCCCCTTCACATGTCACCTCAGCTGCAGATGCCCCTTTGTCCAAAGCCACAGCTTCATGAGCTGCACACATGCAGTGAGCTGCCTGGAAGGAATGGGGGGAGTGAAAAGCCTGGTCGTTTCAGCCCAGGTAGGGACAACCTGGAAGGGTCATTCTAGATTGTAAATCCCAATTTGGACCCGACTTGCATGGGTTCTTCTCACTTCTTATTCTCATCTTCCCTTCATTCTTTCTGTCTTTGTTGCTTCTAATCCCTTGAATTTTCAACCCGGATCACAAACAGCATTTAGGGAAATCATTAAAGTGAAAGATCAGGTTAGGGCAGCCTGCAAGGTGTATGGAAATCAAAAAGAGATACA